TAATCCCTGATCTAATTCTCATACGTCTTTTAAAGGCAGAGATGCATCCTATAAGGATTGAGCTTACATAAAACAACTCTTGTAACCATCATATGGGAAGAACACGAATTATTATTTTCATTTAATGATTGCCTATTATTTACTAGGCACTTAAAAATATTTCTGTTGCTTACCACAATGATGTGTGAGAGGCATTAGCATCCTGCTTAACTGGTGAGAGGAAAAGCAGCTCATAGAATGTAAATGACTGACCCCAAGGAAAAGCAAGTCATTAAATGCCACATAGCAGAGTATTGAAAATTCTTGGCTCTGGCTTCAGATGAGAGTTCAAATTCTGAGTTATCACTTAGCACTTCAGTGACTTTGGGAAATTTGTTTCAGTACCTTACTTAATTTCCTCATGTGTAAAATGGGATAATAATACTATCCACCATATGATATTGCTGTACTGACTAAATAAAACATTGTGAAATGTTCAAAAATAGATTTAAATAAAAAGTAAGACAATTTGGCTTCAAATTATTTATGCCTTATCTTCTGTAGGCATTGTGCCATATTCATTTATTTAATTCCAAAAATACGTATTGAGCATCTGTTTCAGGTTCTTGAAACTGTGAACAAAACAGGCAAGGACTTCGGCTTGTGTAGAGCTTATATGTCCAATCAGGCAGAGACAGTTAAGAAACAGAATAAAAAAATGGATCGTTTAACATTGTTAAGAAGGTGACAATTGCTACGGAAAAATAGAGTGTATAGAGAAGATTTATTGAAAATATCTGAGGGTAAAATTGTAAACAGATTGAGCACAGTTTACTTTTTAAAAATTATAATTGGGCAAAGAGTTGAAGGTAGAGAGGTGGGGAGCTTTCCAGGCAAAGAGAAAAGCCAGAATAAAGTCCCTAAAATGGGCTGTTAACTGACATTTGTGCAGCAGCAAAAAGGACCCTGTAAAAAGGGGGACAATGAAGAGGAGGAGAAGTCAGAGAGGTAGCAGGGCTTGTAGGGCACTGCAGACCTTTATGGAGACTTTGACTTACGCTAAGCAGAGAGGTGACGTTTACCAGGCATGTTGCAAAAAGATGACGCTGGATACTGTCTTAAGAAGAGACTGTAAGGAACAGGGCAGAAGCATAATGACTAGTTAGGAGGTGGCTTCAGTAGCACGTGAGAGGTGGGAAGAACAAGAGAGTGGTGAGAGTGGGAAGTAATCAGTCTGAAGATAATTCAAAGGTGGGTCTAACAGGGTTTCTTTTCAAAGTAGACGTGCATATGAGAGAATAATGGAGTTGAAGAGTTTTGGTATGAGCAAAGAAATAATGAGTGGTCAGTAACTGAGATGGTAAAAATGGCAATAAGGGCAGATTCTGTTGGGGGTGGGGGCATTAGAGGAAAAATCAGAAATTTTGTTTTACACATCCTGAGTGTGCCATTTTAATACTGGGGTTCAGGGTGCCCTTAGCTCCTCTGAGAGGATGTTTCTCCAGGTTCTTGGCCTCCTGCCCTCTCAAGAATGAAAGAGGGGACCATGGTGCAGTACTCAGTAAATGCTGGACTCAAAATTGTTTGTAGAAAGTGGTTTATTTAGAGACAGAGAGAGAGAGAAACAGGAGGAGAGAGAAAGAAACAGCTAATTCTCACACTGAGTGAGAAAATCCAGAAAGATAGAATCCAGGAGAGGAAAGCAGCTTTCACACTGAGTGGAAAGGAATAGAGAGAGATGGAGTTTAGGAGAGGAAGACAGGCTTCCATGAAGGGAGTGTTCATGGAAGGGAATCCAAACAAGGAGTCCTAAGGGGTGTGGAAGAAGGGGACTTTTAACCTGGGAGGAACCCTCACCTTCTCTAAGACCCCTGGCCAATGAAAGGAGTTCCTTAGAACTTCCACTGGAGTAATTGACTCTTAGTTTCTTCCCCCACCTGCAACATTCAAACTAAACCATTAAAGCTCCCTGATGGAGAGAGATGGGAGGAGGGCATGGTGCAAGGAAGTTCTTGCCCTTAAAACTACACCCCCTAATGGACCTGGAAAGAGAACACATTCCCTCATTTTCCCCCGACTCTGAACAGAAATGCCCAACTTCTGTTGGAATTATGGACATCTATCCTCTTTAACTACTTTCTGCTGAAATCTGGCATAGACGGTGCCCTACAATTGAAGTTTCCTCCAGAGGGGAGACTTTCAGGGGTACAGGTTGATCTAGAGGTCCACGATAGAGCCCACAAGCCAAGGACATCCGGGGTTCCAGTGGCAGGATTATTTGTGACCTTATGGCTCTATAAGAAATGAACGTGACAGGGTGGCTAAAGATGAGAGGCCCAGAGGCCAACAAATATAGAATGGTTATAAACGAGCCTAGGACAGAACAGAGCCAAGTTCTTGAAGGTCTTTAGCCCTTTGTTTGATTGATTCCTGAGTTCTATGTTTAAAACAACACTTAACTGGTTTACAAAATAGCAGCATTTTTCCTAGGAAGAGACAGGTTCCTTTCCCACTATGAAAAGGATAATCAGAGTTCAAGAGACAGCCATGTTGAGGGTTATAGTCCTATTAACGCCAGGATATAAATTAGACTTATGATGGTTACTTCCCTGAGGATCTTGTTGGAAAAGCAGATGTAGATCTTCTAATGGCTTGCGGGGATATGAAAGGTTGTCTCCTGGAACTTCAGGCTGTGGAGTGGAGCGTCTATGACTTTCCTCAGGAGGTATCCAAGGCTTCAGCCGAGTGTGATGAATCCGAGTCTATTTCCACTACCTTAACTGCCGTTGGGATAGACAGAATGACTGAAAATGGTCCTTCCCAGGATGGGCTTAGAGAGGGAGAGTCTGAGGGCAGAGAATTGACAAGCACCAAGATTCCAAGGCAGGAGAGAAATACTGAGAAGGCTATGAAGTGTCCAGGAGATGAACTTCCTGGACTTCTATGGTCAGCTTTACCCGGGGCTCTGTGAGGATGACGGCTCGTGCTGGCACTTGCTCCAGAAACCCTTAGTCCTGCCATTGGGTCATCTGGTCAGACACCTCAGGCCCTGAGAACCTTTGTCCCCTGGGACAGTGAGCTTTCCAGTGATTCCGTTGGTACAGCAGGCATGGATGAGATGGTGGTTCATTTTGGGGGGACAATTTATTACAAAATGTCCTTTCAGACCACATTGGTAACAAGTTTTGCCAGACTGGTGGCTAACCCAAGCCTTTCCCACATTTGAGCCCCTGGGGTCTGCTTGCCTGAAAGCCATAACTAAGGCTGATCCCTCCTGTGCCTTTCAGCCTGTTCCTTCTCATCTCTATTATAAAACACCGAGGTTGCCTGGTTCAATAATGATTCTAGACTCTGTTCTGGTCCCAAAGCCAGCGTCTGGAGCTTCTGCCTGATACCTGCTGCTGACTAATGAACTTGTCCTTTAGTATTTACTGACCCTCAATGGAGTCTGGTGATGTGGGTATACTTTTTAAGGCCTCCTGTAATCAGCTAAGGAAAGCTGTTGGATTGTCTTCAGTCCCCTTTGGGGACTACATTTTCCACTCAGCAGAGGGTTATTTGATGACACTGGACACTGTCTTAAGAAGAGACTGTAAGGAACAGGGCAGAAGCATAATGACCAGTTAGGAGGTGACTTCAGTAGCACATGAGAGAGAGGTGGGAAGAACAAGAGAGAGGTGAGAGTGGGAAGTAATCAGTCTGAAGATAATTCAAAGGTGGGTCTAGCAGGGTTTCTTTTCAGAGTAGACGTGCATATGAGAGAAATAATGGACTTGAAGAGTTTTGATATGAGCAAAGAAATAATGAGTGGTCAGTAACTGAGATGGTAAAAATGGCAATAAGGGCAGATTCTGTTGGGGGTGGGGCATCAGAAAGAGGAAAAATCAGAAAATCTGTTTTACACATCCTGAGTGTGCCATTGTAATACTGGGGTTCAGGGTGCCCTTAGCTCCTCTGAGAGGATGTTTCTCCAGGTTCTTGGCCTCCTGCCCTCCCAAGAATGAAAGAGGGGACCATGGTGCAGTGCGCAGTAAGTAAATGGCCAAGTCTGTTTGGCAGAGAAAAATAAGCCACTTCTTCCTTAAAGACTGTGTGTTAAACTGGTCCCAATTTTCCGGTATACACTTTAATGGGGACTTGAGCTTCGGAATAGCAGCACCCATCCGAAATCGAATGCAAGGGATGCCCGCATCCCCGGTTAAAGGAATTACAGCCACTTCGACCTGAGGTGTCCCTCAGGTAAAATGGGTACTAAAATGAAACATCTTTCAGTCAGTACTGAGAAATTTTGTGTGCCCAAGATGCGTGATCCATCTAATCAGAGGGCCTCCTATGTACTGGATTTGAATCACGACCTACCAGCTTCATAGGACCACCCTCACTGCCTGCAGGGCTACCACAGAGGCACGGAATGAAAGGGGGCTTTTGGGCTGGGTAGTCACATACCAACGAGCCCTGATGAGGCCAGTGAGGCTCAGGAGATGTGTACCAATATTTCCCAGCAAAAATTCGATTTACACAGGCCAATTTCTAAAACTCCCCCAGAAGGGTAAACTTCTAGAGAGGGGCCATTAGAGCGCACAGTTCAAAGAAGGCAGGCCTGACGTGGCTGAGGCCAGAACAATATCCTCAGGACCCGGGCCTCCTCTCCCCAACCCATTTTTCATTGTAGGAAAATGCCTTTAAGGATGTGAGAGCTGCCATTAACTATTTGGGCCCTGGAACCAGTTTAACTATAATCTTCTAGATGGAAAAGTTTTGCCATAGAGAGAACCAATCCTTGGCAAGGAAGATTACACACCAAAGACAAAGTCTGATAGCCTTCAGCTTTGAAATTTCCCCGGGAGGCTTACACCCAACCAAGATGCAGTCCACCAGGGATTTGAACCAGCAACCCTACAGTTGCAGGCCCTACACCTTAACCAACTATGCAAGCTGACTCCTTACACTGAGAGAAGGCAGAAAGCTTTCTTAGGCCGTATTTTGAATGAGAATGCTGCCCCCTGAGGGGTGTGGCCTACCTAAAAGCTGGGCGGGGCTGACGACCAACAGCCACTCCCTTTCCCTCAGCCAAACTGGCAGAGGAAAAAAGCCGCTTGCTGTGTCGGTTTAAAAGCCGCATTTGCTGCGGCTGCTGGGCCTCCGTGAGTTCCCCTGTTGCCATGTTGACCCCTCCAGAACCACTTGCACGCCTGGGCCACTTCCCAAGCTATTGCCCAGACAGGGACCCATGCGGAGCCTTTTTTCCTTGCTGCCTGGGACTGGGGAATGCTGGAGAGGCCTGCCAGAACCAGGCGCCAGGCTACTGCGCGGCTGGTCTCAGCAGGCTCCGGTTGTACCTCGCCCCACCTCGCGTTTTCTCCAGCCCACGGTTGCGCACTCGGTTCTGCCCCTGGGGCTGGGCTGTTCCCGGCGGGCAAGGACTGAAAGGCACGGGGCAGTGCTGGCCTGCTCTTCCCCACAGGCTCCCTCAGGTTTTAGTCCCAGAGATAGTATCTGAAGGATAGAGAAGGAGACAGAAAGCAGACAGAGAGCTTGAAGGTAAAAAGTCTGCGCCTTTAATTCTGGCTGGGCCGAACCGCTTAAGAGGGGCGGGGTCGCGCCTCCGAGGCGCCTCTGCTCGGGTTCCCCTAAGCCCTGCCTGTCTGCGGCTGCTTCAGGGGTGTTCTTAAAGAGACAGGACAGAATGGGGCTGGTTTCACTCACAATTGTGAAGTCTTCTCCAGCTGTACTCCTTTCTTGGCTGTACCCCTTTCCTGGCTGTACCCCTTTTCAGGTGTACCCCTCTTCTGGTGAACCCCTCTCCTGGTGGGCTCGCCAAAATGTAATATTGGGGTTCAGGGGCTCAGGGTGCCCTCAGCTCCCCTGAGAGGATGTTTCTCCAGGTTCTTGGCCTCCTGCCCTCTCAAGAATGATAGAGGGGAAATCCAGGAGAAAGATGGCTTCCACGAAGGGAGTGGTCGTGGAAGAGGATCCAAACATGGAGTCTGAAGGGGTGTGGAAGAAGGGGACTTTTAAGCTGGGAGGAACCCCCACCTTCTCTAAGTCCCCTGGCCAATGAAGCGAGTTCCTTAGAACTTCTGCTGGAGTGATTGACTCTTAGTTTCTTCCTGTGCCATCGAAATTCAGACTAAACCATTAAATCTCCCCGATGCCGAGAGATGAGAGGTGGGCGTGGCGCTAGAAAGTTCTTGCCCTTAAAACTACGCCCCCTTGTGGACCTGAAAAGACAACACATTCCCTTACCATGTTAGTGGGAAAGTTTTAAAAGTTGCTGGTGTTCATCTTGGCTGTTTCAGCTTGTATGCTTGCCAAGCAAGCAATCCAGTGCCTTTCCTTCAGCTTAGCATTGCCTCCTCAATTCTGTCATTTACCTTCTATTACTAGATTTTGTACTTTGATAAAGAGATTTTATTATATACTTACTCGGAATTCCTTGTAATGATGAAAAAACTTAACTAGGTCTTAAGAAATACTTGTTTCCTAATTGATTGAGTCTTCCCAGACATTGAAATATTGAGTCAATTTTGCACTGAAGAAAAGAAAAATAATTTTACTGAGAAATAGTCAAGGTATATTTCTTGCCATTTTTTTATTGACAAAATATAATTCTATAAACAAGGAAATATGTTTTTGTATAAAATATATATTTATTATTTTAGTATTATACATCTTTGGTATGTATATATAAGCAGAAGCCTTTCTTTATACATTTTTTTTTCATTAATAATCTATTCTAGGGTATATGGTCATGTCCCACATGACAACATTTTGATTCATGGTGGACCTCATGTATTATGGTGATCCTATAGCATTACAATACCATGTTTGTACAGTATCTTTTTATGTTTAGATATTGATACAGTTTGAATGCCTGTGCCCTCCAAATATCATGTTGAAATGTGATTCCTAATGTTGAAGGTGGGGCCTGGTGGGAGGTGATTAGATCATGGGGGCAGATCCCTTATGAATGGTTTAGTACCATCCCTTTGGTGGTGAGTGAGTTCTGTTAGTTCACACAAGATCTGGTTAAGAGTCTCTTCTCGCTTGCTCCTGCTTTCTCCATGTGACAGGCTGGCTCCCCATTGCTTCTTCCATGATTGGAATATTCCCGAGACCTCTCCAAAAGCAAATGCCAACACCATGATTCCTAGAAAGTTGCCAATTAAATCCCTTTTCTTTGTAAATTACTCAGCTTCAGGTATTCCTTCATAGCAATGCAAGAACAGCCTGATATAGACATGTTTGACACATAAATACTTACCATTGTATTATAATTGCCTACAGTTTTCAGTACAGTGACATAGTGTACAGGTTTAAAGCCTAGGAACAATAGGTAATGCAATATAGCCTAGGTGTATATAGAAGACAGCACTACCTATGTTTGTTTAACTACCCTGCATGATGTTCACAGAGAAAACATCCCCTAATGATGCATTTCTCAGAATGATACCCTTGTCCTTAAGCAATGTGTATGCACACACATACATTAAACTTCAAGCATATGATTTAAGCAAAGAAAGAAAGAGAGAGAATTAATTAAAAGAATACCAGTAGTTTAAAAAAAAATAAAAGATCAGCCCCTGAAAATAACAGCCAGTCATTTTTGTCAAAAATGTAGACTTTGGTTTCACTTTTTAAAGAAAGTATCAAATGAAATGTGCCATATGAACTGATGATGCCAGTTACTCAAGCATTCATTTTCCTGCGCTTGATTCTGGGGTTTCATTCCCTGGAATTCTAATGGAAAAGACAAGACACAAATGAAGACATGGTCCTCTTTGGAAATGCCAAAACTCCCCAAAGAGGGAATATACTATTACCATTCCAGTAGTAATTTGTGGGCCTGTAAGAGAACACATGTCAAAGAACTTGCTTATGGATTCAGAGGAAGATTACAATATAAAATAAATGTAATGATACAGTTTAGCCTCTGCACATGCCCACAGAAATATGACATGTACTTGGAATGATGAGAAATTTTTTAAAAAATCTCAACAGATGTTTGCCTTTTAAAAAATGGGCAAATATGTATTTTTCATAAATAATAAGACTATAGCTTTCTAGAAAGCTGTTTTCTTTTTTCTTTTCTGTATTCCTGATTTGCTTCTAAAGTAAGAAAGTTTGTTTTGGTAAATGCTCCTGTAAAGCAAGTGTCATGGCTTTTTTAGTTGTCAGACAAGCATTTCTACCCAAATTATTTAAGTCCAAAGGAAATGTGTAGCCTCATGTTCTGAAAATGTGGAAGGAGACTTGAATTAGGGTTTCACAGGATGTCATCAGGAACCAGGCTCAATCCATTTTTGGCATTACCTTTTGTTGACTTGCCTTCACTTCCACCAGCCACACCATACTAACTGCTGGTGAATCAATAGAAAAAGTACCCTTTTGCCAACAGTTTGAGCAAAATCTCATTTGTAATATTGCCTCCAACTGGGCCATGTTTGTCTCACAATTAATCACTGGGCCCAAGGAAACGCAATGCTTTCCTTGGATGACTGGTGATCTTTCCTTATAGCTGGGGGAGGGGTCAGGCAAGGATAAAGGAGCAGTGGTTTTACAAAGTAAAAATATAATTGCTGTTGCTGGGTAAATGGTGAATGGTAGAATGTCAAATGCCAACTTCAGGAATATTTAACATTTTGAAAACAGAACACATCATTCCTTCTCAAGAAACTTGAACAAATTTACTTCTCCATTTGATTTTTCTTATTCTGGTTGTAGTATGTACCCCCATTCTCTCAGAGCCAAAACCTCAAGAGAGTTTTCACATATCCCTGTCACTTGGCCCAGTCATCAAGTTCTGTCAATTTATCTTTCATAATGTCTTTTGCATCTGCTCTTTACTTTCCATTTTCACTGCCATCATTCAATTTTCAACTATTATGAATTCTTGCCTAGATAGTTACTTAAGCCTCCTAACTGATCTTCCAGCCTTCTGTTGCCCTATGCTTTACTCGTATACACCAAATTTTATTTGCATTTCTCATTCAGGTTTCTATGATTGCTCAAAATTTTAATTTTGCTGCTCAGTGCTGCAACACACAATTTATGTCTGATATCCAGGACTTACAAAAAAAAAAAAGACCTTTTGTTTGCTTATTAAGTATTAGCTTGACTCATGAATGAACATTCTCCTAAATTGAGTTGAATTTAGTGTAAACACTTTAAGCATCCCTATAGCGCTATCATTCTGTAAGTTAGAAGAAATTTTAGAGCCATAGAGGTTTCTTTAAGAGAAATGCGGGCCAGGCGTGGTGGCTCACGCCTGTAATCCCAGGACTTTGGGAGGCCGAGGCGGGTGGATCACGAGGTCAAGAGATTGAGACCATCCTGGTCAACATGGTGAAACCCCGTCTCTACTAAAAATACAAAAAATTAGCTGGGCACAGTGGCGCATGCCTGTAATCCCAGCTACTCAGGAGGCTGAGGCAGGAGAATTGCCTGAACCCAGGAGGCGAAGGTTGTGGTGAGCCGAGATCACGCCACTGCACTCCAGCCTGGGTAACAAGAGTGAAACTCCGTCTCAAAAAAAAAAAAAAAAGAAATGATACAGTACAAAAATTGTTTTAGAAAAATTAGTATGACTGTGTTAGACTGAAGGAAACACTGGAAGCATAAAGACCAGTTACTAGACTAATGCCGTGATGAGATAAGATCTGGAGCACAGGGGAAAGGGCATAGCAGAAATAAAGACACCTGATGATTGAAAGGGGGAACTTGACCTCTCCACTTCACTATGAGGCCACATTAAGATTTAGAATTGTCCCTTCATGTTTCTCTCTGTATTGAATAATCACTAGTAGACAGGTCAGAGCAAATCTTAAGGGAAGTCTGCGAATGTTGTTTAACCAAATTTAGTGGACTGATGGTATTAGGAAAGGTTTTTAGTTTGAGTAATTTGGGGCAATATGGAAATTAATGGTTTTGTTTACTAAATATAGGATAGAAGACTCCATATTCTTGCCTAAGTCTTAGGTAACTTTTTGTACTTACTGGTAATATAAAAGCATAGTAGAAGAATGGATCTGAAGGAAGTTTCAATAGCCTATATGAATGGCATTTAATACTTATACCAGCTAAATTTCATAATTTGTAAAGCAATTTTGCTGATATTATCATATGTAAGACTTGAAATAATGTTGCTAAATGAATATAATAAATATTTTAGACAGTACTTTATTAATTAGGAATTTTAGTCCTGCAATTTTACCCATTAGGAAATGAAAGCTTAGATGACATAGAAATGTGTTATTTTCTTTGCTCAGTTTACTTTGTTTTGTCTGAAATCTGACCTTTTTTCTTTTGGACAATTATGCTTTACCCTTTCTAAACATGTTATCCCAATTAGAACTGCTCTGATCTTACATGCCCTCACTTTAATGGCCACCGCTCTAAGATGGTTGCATGTCCATGTAAATGCAGTAACTCATTTTCTGGCCACAGTAATTATAGAAGAGGTAAATTTAAAAAAAATCAAATCTAGACAAATAAGGTTCTTTCTATACTACAATTTAAAATTAGAG